GAATAAGAATACAAAATTAAATTTCAACATGTGAGAAATCTCTGCCTCAACACACTCAAGAAATATCATCGTTTTGTCATCAATCGAGAGAAATTTTTTCTTTCTGATTTTTTATATTTTTTATATTTAATTTCCTTATTTTCATTTACTGTATCAGAGTAAGAATTCTAAGATATTATTTGCGAGCGTACGTGCAAAAATGCCGCGGATTCGGGAATCCACGTTTCATTCATGCGTGATCACAGAGCGCGAGAGATTCGATCCGCGCGGCTAAAAAACTCAAGTCGAATTCCATGAATTAAGTGTAGGCGCTACGTCATTATCCTTATCTACATTCGATTCTCGGACTAACAGATGTCTAAAGTCCAGAATATCGCGTTTGCATCACACGCCCGCGATTGACTTTGAATTTTCGAGTCGAGAATGAGAGACGCGCGTTTGACAGATCGGCGCGCCTCACGTCCGATTCTTACTCCGAAAACGATCGCGTCGATCTCGAGATTCCTCACGGCTCGACAGGCAAGATTTTCCCGAGTAGTTAGCGATAAGCGCAGTATGATTTCGTGTCGTCAGCAAATGAGAATCCGGTTTGCCGCCTATCTGCGCGTCGCAAATAACAGGCGCTCACCTGCGTTCTTGTACGAGTAATACTTGAAGATACTCGTCTTTCGACCAGTCTCCGATTGCTCCATCTCGAGCGGCGCGCTCGAGGAATCCTCGAGGGAATCGAATCCTTCCGGCGTGCCACGCTCGCTCGCGGACGCCGTATCCTCCGTATCTCCGTTGACGTCCCCTTCCGCATTTCCGTTCACTTCTTCCCGCTCCATTGATGAATCACACACGTTTAGGATCCTCTTCTTTTTCCCTCGGGTGTCAGCACGATAACGATAACGTACAGAATTCTCGTGAGTCCTCGCGACAGCCAATATTCATCAATATTCAGTCTCTATCTTGCCATCGTTATTATTGTCGTTTTTACAGCGACTATGAGATTACGTTGTTTCCTAGACAAAACAATCACAATGCACTATGCTCGAACGTAAGCGCGCCGGACGTGCTCGTTCGCCAGAATGCAAGGGAATCGTCGGCGACCTGCCCGGGATACCTCCCTCGTCTCGCCTCTCTCGCTCTTTTTCCCCCCTCTCGCATACTACGTGCTCGTACGATCGAGTCTCGTGTCGTGGTCACGGACAGATCCCGAATTAACAGCACGCAGTTCGATCTTAAGAATGATTCCTCATTCCCGGTCGGTCAACGTTCACGTTTACTTAGGATACGCCCATCTGATGACTGATCACGTGGCTCATAAAAGAAAAAACTCGCCAAAAGATACCTTAAAATATTTTTTCTGTCGCAAGAAAGAAACCAAGTGATATTTAATCCTATAATTAAAATTTCTTTTTTTTATGTTTGAAAAAATTTATATAACTAGCAAACTTGATTTTGGAATATGAACTAACAAT